GCGTTCAATCATTGAGTGCATCTGGCACAAGCCATGAGCAGCATTCGCATGAGCTGCCCAGCCACTGTCCCGACAGTCCGTGGTACACCTGAGAGTCCCAGATGCAATATGCCAGCATTTCTTGGACTTGCTCGCATGCGCCAGCTTTCACACTTACCTGCTCGCCCCTCGCGTGGACATCGTGACGAGGAGCGCCGGGCCTGAGGTCTCGAACTCCTCTTACAGTGCCTCCAGCCCTGGGCAAGCAGCCCCGAAGACAAGTGAAGTAGTGTTGAAGCCGCTGAAGCCCGGCACTTGCAAACAGCGTAGCGGTGCAGACATGTTCTGAGAGATGTCAGGGCATGAGGTGGTAGAGGGGTTGCAAGGCTTTCTGCTGCAAGCTTCGCTCCAACCTAGGAAGCAGCACCATGACTATCAGGAGCCGTGTTGCGGTGTCGATTGCTGGGCAGAAAACAAGGTACAGGTACTTTTCGCGAGATTCCACGGTGCAAATGGGATGTGGAAGTGTCCGAGATGGCAGCAGCTGCAGAATCTCCGCACTTCAGGTGTGTTGTTGGGGCGTCTCAGCATCCGCGCAGGTTGACTGTTTTGATTGTGGCCTCCAGCATCCTGTCAGAGCAGCTTGAGGTTCCCGATCAGGCGCTCTGCTGTCGGCATGTTCGAGGTTGCAGGGGCACAGGGGTACCCGGCAGTTGCAATAGGCCTGGATGCAAAAGGGGCCTGTGCCAAATTGCTTGAAGGCTCCGCCTCCTGAGCACAGGGAGCTTCTTTCACTGCACTCAACGCAATGCCATCGCCAAGACGTGATAAGCTGTTGCAGGCGTCTTGGCACGAATCTATCCTTCTCTGGTTTGATGGGCTCTCAAGGCCTTGAGACAGTGTCCACCAGCCACAATGCATTGCCGAACAGTCTGAATGCATTGCTCAGCCTTGGTCTGTTGTGGCGGCGGCCTTCTTTTACCTTATGATTGTACCCAAGTTCTAGTCATTTCACGAGGCCAGCCTCAGGCCCGAATGCACAGAGCCGGCAGAATGCCCGGATGCTCGCTGCGGTGAAAGGTGGATCAGAAGAGCCGCACCGCTGAGCTTGCGACCTGCCTTTTCATCTTGAGAGCAGCTCTTCTGGAGCTCCTGTCTGTTGTAAATGGCTCAAGCATTTCCACTGGCTGCAAAAGCTTAATGTTTCTGCATCTGTCTCGCTGCTGCAAGCTGTCCGGAGAACAAGTTGCAAGCCTTCTGCCTGCCTTCTCAGCTTCGAGCATACGGCGTCGGACCCCCGCACGAACTGCTTGCGATGCCAAGAGTCACCTTCTGCTGACTCTGCTTTGCACGTACGGTGTGCTAAACATTGGCCTCCTTCCAGTAGTGATTCAAGAACAGGGCCCCCCCACGTCATACAAATAGGCATGATTGGACATCACCCAGGACAGACAAAGTAGCTTCCCACTCTGTCGTTCTGTCGTTTGGTGGGGATGTTTGTCCAGCGGTTCACTGCATCGTGGCCTGCCGCAAAGTCACCTGCAGCTGTGCAGACATCTGTGAAACTGCTTCTGGTTACTTTCCTGATGATCTGCAACTTGCCATTCCGTTGGCAACCATTGGCAACCTAGGTTGTGGATGGTTGTGCGCCACGGGCACCGTAGGCCCATGTAACGCAAGGAGACCTGTCGACAGTCCGGCAGCGCAGGCTCACGAATCATTCAGGCTCAGCTTTTTAGGTTCGGGTCGTGAAGACTTCTGCCGCAGAAGAAATGGACAATGAAGGGCCGCTTGTCTGCTGAAAAACAGAGTCGGCAAGAGCAAGTGCATTCGTGGCTACTGCAGAGAGCCCTCCAGAAATCGCTATGCTGATTTCTGCTTCCACGCACCCTCACAAAGGCCATCCCTGCCAATGCCAATGAGGAGCACCCTGCATGCCTTTCCAGGCCACTTGTCCAAGGCCAAGGGCTACTGGAAAGGTAAAATGCATTCCTTGACCGCAGGCTCCATGAGGGCCGCGCTGAGCTGTCATGCGTCTATCCTGGAACACCTCGTCATCCGCGGACGGAGTGCCTGACTAAAAGGCATTGGGGACTTCGTATGAGCTTCGGCTCGAGGTGCGGCCTCATATTGCGAAATCGACGCACAAAAAACCCAGATGCTCTTTAGTATGATTGCATGCAAGAGGTTGTGCTTTAAAGGTGTTTCAGGATGGAGTGCAGGCATTGGGCGACAGCGCTGTGTGGCTGTGGCCGCCGACCCTTCCCTTGAAGCTGGATCGGACTTAGAGATGTTTTGCACTCTTGTGCAGGCCGGCCAACATCTCCCATGCCTCTTAGCTGCGATGCCGCAACACAGTTACACCATCTTACGGCGTCATTGGTCACGTAACATTCACCCACTGTCCCAGTGCTGGGTTACCCGCACTGCGGCCCCCGCTACAGCGCTGGGCTTGGCGACAGCATTTGGCACAACACGGCTGGACATTTGTCGACTTGGATTTGTCTCTGCAAAGAGCCGTTTCTGCAAACTGAAATCCAGCTGGCCCTTGGCCAAGACATGACTGATGCTTCTTGAGCGCCACAGTGGAGGAGCGTCGGCTCGATCCTGTGTAGAGGGATCTTGGCGGGCCTTCCAAGAGTCCAAACGATGCACTGCATCCTGTCTGGGGTGTGCGGTGCGCACCTTCGCAGCTGCACTTTGCAGAGTGCACTTCTACATGCCGGGCGGTGTTTTCGAAATGACGAACCCGAAGGCTAAGTCTGTAGCCCCCCCCAGCAGCTGCGCTGTCAAGCGCCTTTGCTGGGATTCTTTGGCCGTGTTAGCCTTATGAGATCAACGCATACCGTCCATACACCTCAGCCTCAGGGAAACCCCAGGTTTAATGGAGCAGAGGAGGCGGAACGCAGGGCCCACAAGCGCCCCAAACACAAGCATGGCTTCGGAAAAGGTCGTCGTGCAGACTTTGGGGTCGTTCCTCCCATGCCTCGAACGCCTAACGAAGTTATATCTAAATGTAAACCCCATGTTTCAAGATAATCATCCTGATGGAGCTTTCAGGGCCGAAAGGTCATGTAAGGTCTGCCAGGATTCTCTGAAGCTAGTAGCGCTGGGTGTTCACTCGGGGTCCCGAAAATCGCTTCGAGGAGGGTTTAAGCAGGATTTGAAGCACTCAAGACCTTGTGACAATGTAAGAAAGCTTGGTTACCCATTGAAGAACTCCGTGGCTGGCTGGCAGCTATATCCTGGATATCTTCAAGGCTTCGTGTAGCCTGACACATTTATAGCTGAAGCGCCTCAACTCCATAATTTGGACATGTAGCTTCAAGGCACTGACCGGTTGATGCAAGACCTGCGTGCTACACAAATCAGCTGTAGAGCTTCGGAGTTAGGAAAGCGCCACTGTCGCCATGGGCAGCTGCTGCCAAAGCGGGGCCGTCGACGAGGCCTTGTGGATTGTGCGGTTCGGGAACTCGTGCTTCAGCAGCATATTCACGGTTCAGGAACTTTTGGTGCGATAAGTTCACTGTAGACGCACCGCTGTTCTTCTACATTCTCGTCGCTGGCGATGCTATGCAGGTGTTTCTCGAAGCAATCATGGCAAACAGCATGGAGGCTTAGATTGGGGTTTGGCTTCAGGGCTGAACCTTGAGGTATGGTCCCACAGGAGCCTGCAAAAGTTTCTAGATGTAGAACCTTATCGAAGGCAACAGGATAGATGGCGCCCTTCAACAATAGCGGTGCGAAGGCAACAGGTTTCAACATGCGGTTTTCACACTCCAGTCAAGTAAAGACTGCATCCAAGAGTTAAGCCTGCAAACCTCCATAACTGTGGTCCTAGTCACATGCTGATTGCGGCCTAATTCTAATCTTTCGAAATGACGGAGCAAAATCGAAGCCTCTAGGACAAGCTGCGCAGTGCTCTAAGCTTCGGGTTCACCTCGCTGGAAGATCACAGGAAACCCTGTAAAGCTTGGGTCTTCGTAGGTGGGGAAGTCACAAGTCCCCTGTAGGGCTCGGAGTGTGTGGCCGAGGAGGTTTCGCATCTTGGCGAGCGTTTAGTTTCTCACCCTATTCCTGAGTTCGAGGTTCTGTTTCATGTGTTTCGGTGTGGCTCGCAAGGCTTTGGGTAGTCGAGGTTAGGCTTAGCTGCGGTCTTCTTGCCTGAGGTTCCGGGACGTGGCAATTGTGTGGGTTCAAGGACCTTTCCATGACCAGCTTGGGCTTTTCCTAGGCTCTAAATGGGCGCTTCATCGTTCCATGAGGGACACTACCAGATGCCAGAAATAGCGCAGGATCCTCAACTCCGAAGCGGACAAAGCCAGCTCGACAAGTCCGTGCACGGCTCCTTGTGAAACCCCTGAGCATCGTCACACGGGCCCTGTGCCTTCCTGAACACCAGTGTACATCATGTACAATGTAGAGGTACCTGTGTAGGTATCTTAGCTACCCGAGGAAGCATCAGAGCAGACCCAGCCTTTGTTTCATCGTGAGACGGAGCTACTTCTTTCAGCCGTGGGACCGGGATACCCGAGGGCACGTGGATCAGCACGCCTTTCGCACCGATCACTCCTGCACCGGCCCCAGCTTAGCAACCAACCTGTTTTCGGATAACGCACAGGAGGTGGTGTAGAGGACTAAAGTGACTAAAGTCTTGTTTTCTGCTCCAGAAGTTCTCTCTACACTTGCGCCCGCAGCTTTGCATTTCCTGGATTGGTCGGCGCCTGGCAGCAAGCCGATTCTGCACTAACCTCTCCACCTTCTGAGTTCGTGTTTGCTCCTCGACAGACTGTCCTGCATCCCTGGCTCAAGTTTCATCTGTTTCCACAGTGGGGGTTCCTGATGGAGATAATTACATGCTTTGCGCCATCCATTGGAGCACGAGACCCCCCTCTCTACATCTAGACAGCCGAGCACAACCTCACGGACCAATAGTCTAGCTTTAGTGGAGTGGAATGTAGAGTCAATGTAAAGGCCCGCGAGGGGGATTGCAACAGCGCACAGTCCTTTGCCGTGCCAGAATGGACGGGCCTAGTGAGGAAAACTTTGGAAGGGCCTGGCGGGCTGCAGGGACCATGACCGCAGCAGCCATTGCCAGCCTGCTAGCCTCGGTGGGGCAAGTAATTGCTGAGCACGATGGAAAGTTCCCCTGTCTTCTGCAGGCACAGACAGCTCTGCGGGCATTTGCAGCCGTGGCATTGTCGCGAACAGCATACGAGGTAGTTTGCCGGATACCTTGGCGGTCCATCGGGCGTCGCCCCTTGCAAGACACGAGCCGGAAGCTAGAAATCCAGCTGCAAACAGCGACAGAGGAGTTGAGCATCGTCAAATCGGAAGTGGAGTCCTTGACGATGGAAAAGCAGCACCTCGAGGCTCGGATGCAGCGTTCCGAGGCATCTCGCGAGCAATTGCGTGGGAGCTTTGCATCGGTTCTGTCTCGCCTGGAGCGGTCCGAAAGAGATGAGTCGCAACTGCGGCAGGAGATCCTTCGCATTATGACACTTGCCGCCTCAGGACCACAGCCACAGAGCTACGATGCCCAGACTTTGCTTCCGGGTCTACAGGGCTCCACAGAGATTCCCGCAGACTTCACCTTTGCGCCAAGCACACCCTCTTCGACAAGGTCAAGCCGGAAGCGCAAGACAGACCAGCGATGCGTGTCCAGCACTCGTTTTGCCGATTCTTCACTGGCCAGGACGGGCGATGCCATCAGCGAATCCTCCTTCGAGGATGAGCGAGAAGAGGGAAATGAAACGCCACCGGAGTCCGAGGAAACCGCAACACCAGACGCCGCCACACGAGACCGCGGAAGTGATAGTCCCCAAAAGCAATCTCATCGTGACAACCGCGCCTCCATGAAGCCTCGCCAGTTGGAGCATCAGACCGGAGAGGCCGAAGCCTTCGTGGCAGAGGCAGCCGAGGCAGCCAGCGCGAGCGCGGGGACACGTGGGAGTCAGGCCAAGCGCCAGCGGCTAAGTTCGCGGAGCGCACGCGCCCGACGAGGGTCACATGGAGTGCACATCGTCATCAGGAAGTCCCGCGACAAGCCCTAGGCCCCGGCATTTGATGCCTCTCGGCTCCTGGCTTTTGCTGGCTCAAGCTCCGTGTTCGGAGGTCTGTTAGGACAGGATCAGGGGGTCGGGCTACAGTGTGCACGATGTTCCAGCTCAAGAACGGTTCTGAGCTCTGAGTACAGTAGAAATAGTCCAGCACCACAAGCCTTGACCTCCTGTTACGGAAAGTTTGCATGCTTTCGTGCTTACTTATCTTATCATACAGCGTTTCTTGGCATGATCTGCGAGGGCAGAAACAGCCGCCTTCTAGATCATGGCATCATGTGACAGCCTGGGCCGGATGGTGGATTCCGTCATACTACATGTGACGTCATGTAACTGGTGTTCCTTTACTTTTCCTATCACTGCCACGATTGCCACATAGCTCGGACAAGATCGTGTTGTAACACTCGTCATGGCAGTGGAAGTCATCAGCACCGTCTCTCCGACACTTTCGCCCTGCGACAGTTTGCTACTCGAGCAAGTCCACAAAGATCCACTCCGTCCCTTTGTTTGTGATCTTACAGCAAGACCAGCAAGCATTCTCATGTTTGCTGTCGATGGTTTCAGAAGCGAGGTCACTAATTCGGTGCATGGCGATTAGAACAGGGACAATTTCGCCTGGTGATCGTCCGGATGTGAAAAGAAGAACTCCAAAGCTACCTACTCGCCCACCAACCCAGTCCCTTGGCAGTCGTTCCCTGGCATCCCGAAGCACTCCAGCGCTAAGGTCTGCCGGATCTGCTCCCACAGAGGTGGACGATGCGCAGCTTTTCGAAGTGCAAAGGCCTGAGCTTCGGGGGCTGCCCAGCTCGGCTGGGACTAAGGCTAAACTGTTTTTGTCACCAGAAAGCGGGCCAAAGAAAATGAGACGGAAAAGAAAGGCCTGGAGCATTAAGTCTGAGTCAGACCCAAGAGCGAACTAGAATGCCCCAATGATTTCGAGAAATTTGCACACCGACACGGCCTGGCGGTGTTGTGGGCACTGCCACTCGCAAATCAGCCCTCATATCTTTTAGCACGACTTCAGCGTGAGCTGCGTATGCGTCTGTTCGCCCACGGGTGGGGTCAGGTTGGAGTTAGGATCTAGCACAACTCAGCGAAGAAGAGGTGGGGTTGGGCAAATGCTTGCTGTGCAGCAGAGCACTCGTAAGGCGTAGAAATCTCAGTCGCGTGCATGAAGCCGCCGAGGCACCTCAACTGTTCTCGGGAAACCCGAGTCGGTTTAGTCCTTGACAACTCGGACGAGCAGGTGGGGACCCCGGTCTATGCTTGCTCTTCTCCTTGAGGTTGAGTCAATTTGTCAATGCACGGATTCGTGCCCTGCAGCCCGAAGATGTAAACGGAGAGTCGTTGGCGAGTACAAGTGACAGGTGTCTCAGAGTCTCATCGTTGCACATTGTATCTAGGCATTTCATGTCAGCAATCTCGGCAAAAGTACAGTTCGGCAATCTGTCAAATGACGCGTAGCCAATGAAGCCCTTTTCTTGGTATGTACACACGTGCTTGCATGTGTTTGCATGCGTGCGCACACACACACGCGGATCTCCACGTGCGTATATACTCGTACGTAGTTTATCCAGCTGCAAATGTGTTTTGGCACCTGTGTTTCTGAGACATCTCATTCTTCGTGAACTGCTTCAGTGATTCATGTTACTTGCTTGATATGCTGACTTATATGACCACTGCGACTTCTTAATGACTAAGTGGGCAAAACCTCGCCAACCCTAGCTCCTGAATTCGAAGTTTATTTCTCCGTTCGATGGCATTCTCCTAGGGGCAGAAACTTCCGGACATCCTGGAAAGCGGCGGGCAACCAACCAAGGTATGCCTTGTGAAGTCCATCTCCGACGGGCTGGTGAAGGAGTGGCTAGGCCAAAGCTTTCCCTATAGCTTCGTGTTCTTGGATCCAGGGAAGGCTGAAACAGGTTGTTTGCGTAAAGTAGCCTAAAGGGTCCCACATCCACCGAGGTGGAACGAGACCAGCAAGAAGTTTGCTGCTGCCTGTCTCAGTTTTGTGGTTTGCGTTCCCACACACAGAAGGCCCAGCCCACGAAGATGTAGTTTTACATACTTGAGGCGACCCATCGTCGTGGCGTTAACAAGTGTGATTGAATTCGGAGCATGGGCTGGGCACGGCAAGCCTTTGTTGAGGAGGGGCTTGTTCAACCGTGACGAGCAGGCCAGTCACAGTAAGGCGATGAGGGGGCCCAGATAAGGTAACTTAGGGAATTTGAATAACTAGAACTAGCATGTCACAGTAGTCCGTAGGGCTCCCGATTAGAAATATACTGTGTACCTATACACCAGAACCCTATTCCGGGCCCCTAAATATCCCTGAATGACATGCTGCATCCATGGCAGTTAGAAGTGCTCAGCACTGAATGGTAAACTCCTTCTTCTGAAAACCTTGCTCGATCCAGATAGTTAACTAAACCTAGCCCACATGGCCGGAACCGGGCTTGATTGTAGTCTGTGGTGATCGGGTTTCGGGCTTACATGATTCGAGTACGGCGGACATACCCGTCATTAAGCTTATGGTCCGAAGTCTGTCCAAATCCGCAAGGAGGCCACCAGCGGCCACAAGAGTAGAGCCAACGCGGAGTGCAGGAAGACTGCTAACGCACGGAAGCAACCGAAAGTACTTAATTCCAAGATGCGCTGCAGGTGAAGCCTAGACACCGACTGCTTTTCGTCGATGGGCAACTTGGGCTGGAAGAGTTCCTTAGCCGGGGTTTCGGGATAAGTGTTTTCTGGGTGAAGTTTAGAAGGGCGGGCTCCTTCCGTTACCGCAGGCGGAGGTCCCCCAGCAAGACTCTGAAACATTCACGCTGCAGGGATAGGGAGAGTACTCAGACCCAGATCCGTGCACCTGGTCGAAGCAACGCGAAACCCCAGTTCAGAACCGGTCTTCCAGATCTTCAGCCCTTGACGTGTGAGATTGGGTTTCGAAGGGTTCTCTGGAGCTGGTGAGGCAACCTCGGGCCTTCCTCTTGACATGTTAAAGTACTGTAAATCAAGCAGATATGTAGTCCTACACCCTAGGTCGATCCTGGCGTTTGAGCATGTTTGAAACAGAGAAGCTCCTTGTTCAAGGAGGCCAGGGAGCAGCACGGAGTTCATGGCTGAGCTGCAGCTGGCCTGAGAAATTGGGATTGGCCTCGAGTTTTCTTGCTGTGACGTCCATTGCAACGATTGCTTAAGGGCGATCGGGGTCACATCCTATCCCCGTTGTTGAGATCAGGTGTGGGGTTCAGAGGTTTTTGGCACTTGCTGGAAACACTTGCTGTATCCCCGGAGGATGGGAGCGTTCATTGCGAGGCAGCGTTTGCCACCCTTTGCATAACCGAGGGATTTCGCGGCGTGCCTGCCCGGAATGGCTATTGGCTATTGGCTCAAGAGACCAGCAGGGAGCGCGTGCTTCTCCTTAACATCTGACCGCATGAAACAACCAACGTAAATTTCACAGACGTGTCGCTAGACGTCGCCGAAGCATCGCAAGATAAGATGCTTGCAGAGAAGGCTCCATGCACAGTCATCGACATTAACAAACACAACGGTTGATTTCGAGGCACAGAGTGATCCTTCGCGAAGTGAATGCCGAGACAGCATGGCACCGAAAAAGAGGAAGCTCACCACACGAGCAAGGACCCAGCGCGTCGTGGAGCGTGATGTCCTGACCGCCTCAGCGCCAGCCTTTGTCAGATCCGGCCGTGGCAAGGGAGAGAAAGTTTGCGGTGCTTGCTTGCTGCCGATAGAGTCTGACGCGCAGGTGGGAGCAATCGACAACTGCACGCATCTTTTCCATCACAGCTGTGTCGAAAAGTGGTCGGAGACTGAAAACAGCTGCCCGCAATGCAAGACTCGATTCTTCTGGCTGGCAGCTTACGATGAAAGTTGTAACAGGACTTCGTTGACAAGAATCGAAAGTAAAGACCAAGAGGAGCAGGAGGACGAAGCCTTCGAAGAAATCTCGGTCTGCGAGATGTGCCATCAAGTTGGTGACGAGAGCCAGCTGCTGCTGTGCGACGGCATGCACGGCACCTGCAATGCTACATTTCATGTAGCTTGTGTTGGGCTCCATGAAGTACCACGGGGAGCCTGGTTTTGTCCAGACTGTATCGAGCGTGGCTTCGATGTCGATGCACAAGGACGTCGAGGAACCTCGCAGAAGAAGGACGACACAGTCGAGGTGACGCCGACCCGCCGTGCAACACGAGCAGATGCTCAAAGCGTCACAAACGAAGAAGGCACTCCTCCGCCAGCTGAGCTCCCTCGCCGTTCGTCAAACAGGGGGACTCGATTTCCATCACAGCTGCAGCTCAGCGCATTGGCATGCGTGACTCCGGCAGTAGAAGTTCCTGTGTTTAACGGAGCAAATGAACGCCCACAACCAGAAGGCCTTTTTGCAACTTTTGCTGCACGTCGACGAGCTCGGCGTGGCTCTGAAACCCAGCAGAGAACCAGCTTCATCTCGTTGAATCCGAGCTACGAGGACGATTTCATGGCCAGTCAAAAGGAAGGTGCGAATGGATGATGGCAGCAGCACGCTCTCTGAGCCGCTGCCACGGATCACTCCACTCTGAAATTTTGACAAGTTTCACCAGTCACACAGAGCCTTTATGCGATAGCTTACCGAGACTCTCCCCCAGGAAAGGATGTGGGCAAAACCCTTCAACACAAGCCCTCCCAAGTGTGTTCCCGCTTGAACATGTTCAGCAAAGCACAGGTCATGCCTGAATGGTGGCGTTTAAGTTGGGGCATTTAATTCGCAATTCTGCCAAGCATGACCCTGAACATGAGTTGTGGCTTTTTCTGAGGATGACTCGCTCAACTGCAGTCAATCTGACCTTTGAACGGCCGCTGGTGTTGCGCATTGCCCTTCGAACCTTGGCCAAGTTTATCGCAGGTTCGACTCTTGCATGTGTAGGTTCCCTCCGGAAACAAAGAGTCTCGTTGGGAGCCCGAATAAGAGATATTCGACGTCGGAAAGACCTCCATTGAGTCGTGCTTCTGCAGCTCAGACTTAGATCCCTGGTTGCGACCTAGCCCATCCTTGACCTGAGCTCAGGAAAGTCAGAGGATGAGCCACTGGGGCTTGTGCTGCGCCCGACAGAAAGTGATGCATCTTGGCCCTGCAGCATTGTTTTAAGATTGTGTCATAGGATGCTGTATTCCGTTCGATTGTTTATAGTCTTGTGTTATATTCTAGCATATCTGTGTCATACCATATCAGATTTTGCTCTTTTAGGTTGGGCTATGCAATAACGTATCGCCAGGCGATGATCGTGGAGGTGCAACCCGGCCTAATACGCACCTGGAACAAGGCGGCCTCGCCGACGACGACGGCCACTGTGATGCAGAGACTGTCCCACCCTGGGTTAGGGTATAGGGATGTATATGTGCTGCACTGATGCGGCAAGAGAAATTGCAACAACTCCAAGCACCTTTGCAACCAGGGAGGTGTCCGCGTAATGCTCAAACTGTTAGCATGACGTCTTATACGTGCTTCTCGTGGGATCGAGGATGTTCGGGGTCATTTTGGGCTCGCTTCAGGGCCCCTGACTCAGAGGTTTGGCCATCGTTCTGCTGTGTGCTTCGAAACAGAATTGCAATGTTTTGGGGTTACTGCGGTAAGGGTGTCGGCAAGAAACAGTTTCGGACATTTTAGAGCTTGGACCGCTGCAAATCACCCTCCAAAGTCCCGACGCAAGCAAGAGCTTCGGGCCTTGAGCCAGATTCCGTGCCGAACTGGGATTGAGGGCTCACGGGTTTCGGGATGATCTTGGGCTGACAGCTTCTTACAGCTGGCACTGAACAAGTGCCTACAGTCTTATGGGAGCGCCTGTTGGTTTTGGTTTTGCTCCAGAGCTGGAGGTGAAGAAGTCCGACCGCATCGTTGCTGTGAATGGCAGCTCCGGGTCAGGGCAAGACCTCATGAAGATCATCGCGGCACGGCCGATTTGAGTTCTTTGTGGGGGCTGTCGGCAAAGGGGTTGAGCAATATGGGTGGCGTCGGTGTAAGGTGAAGGTTGGTTGTAGACACTCAGCACGACCGTGTAGGTTAACCAGATGCCATAGCGGCGCTCTAGGTCGCAGCCTCTGCCGAAACTAGACCACGAGAGCTCAGGAGACCGATGACGTGTTGGACCTTCGAGTCTTTTCATGGCAGGCATATCTTGATCTGGGTCTCAGCTGAGACAACCTGTCGCCTAAGTCAGTTTTGGAGGTTGATCACGAGGATTCAGAACAGGTGTCCGGGTGGACCAGGTCGTTGTGTGTACGCACGCGGATTCGCGTTCGCTTCTGTAGAGCTCCACTGCCGGAGGCAGGGTGAGGTTTCACTTTCCATTTTTCAGGAGTAGAGGTAGTGCCCCACCAGTGGGAGCCAACAGCCTGACACCGCATGATAAAGGTAAAGGAGGTTGCAGAGAGAGCGAAACTGGTAGCAAGAGATAGAGATAGCCGTTTAGACCGTCTTCAGTTGCCGGCTCATCCAATCATTCAGCTCAGTTTTGATGGCCCTTGAAGGTGGTCTTGAAACAGATCGGTAATGTGCGGACTTGGTGAGTACGCAAGGCGGTTTCGAGAGTTTTTGTGGCCCCCAACATCGGGTGGGTAGCCATAAACCCACCTCTACCGTGGTCATGAGTTATGTTACAGTCCCAGTCGAAGTAAAAGTGAGTTGAACCAGGCGTTGTGAAGCCTTGCTTGCCTGGTGCGAGCTTGAGCGTCGAAACCCAGAACTGTGCAGGATGCGTCGTCGTTGTTGGCCGTGGTGCAACCTGCAGCTCCACAATGCAAGCGGGCATAACGAAGCCATTTCTGCTCAAGTTTCGGGCAGTACGTCATCACAGGTGCAAGAAATTATGCGCGAAGGTTGTTCAAAGCTCCGGCGTGGTACTAGTAGCCAGCAACAGCGGCATAATGTGGCACATCTTTGCAGTTTCGAACAGAACCCACGAGCTGGCAGAGCTAGCCCTGCCAGTCTGGGGCCATGGCTATGGCGGAGGCCGACGTCGAAGCCGGCGAGTCCAAAGAGTTCCACAACGGCTTTTGCGAGGTCTGCCAGAAGGATGGCCGTGTGCTGTTTTGCGAGAACTGCACCAGGGCCTTCCACGTCGCATGCATCGAAAAGTTCGTGGATCTTCAAACACTGGGGATTCAGGACCGCTGGGTGTGTCCTGTATGTGTCCATGGGCCAGAGGTGCTTCTCCGGGGTTACAAGAAACCACAGCTCGCAGAGGAACAGATGGAAGACCTGATGATGAAGCAACAGCGAGAATGCAAGAGGATTGCTTCGGCGAGTGTGCGCAACCGAGACCGAACTTTCCTCAAGGCGATTGACGATGTCGCGCCCTTCGCTTCAAAACCGGCGCTCCGGCGGATTCGGAACTCCGAGGCGAAGACTTCGAGAGTAAGGATGCCACGGATTCTGGATGATGACAGTGATGGGTCTGTCTCAGCAGTGCCAGACGTTCGGACGCTGGATCCGCAAAACCACACGCCCGAGATGTACAAAGACGTGCTCGCGGAGGGCATCCGACTCAAGAAATACCAAGCGGAGGGCGTCGGCTGGATGATCCAAGGTTTTTTCGACCGCTGTGGTGGCATCCTCGCCGACGACATGGGCCTCGGGAAGACGCTGATGACTTTGTGCTTCCTGAGCTATCTCAAGGTGAAGGAGCAAATTCCGGGGCCGGCCCTAGTGGTTGTGCCCTTGAGCTGTGCTGGGAATTGGCTGCGCGAAGCGAGGAAGTTCGTCCCGCACCTCTCGATCGCAAAGGTCTGTGGAAACAGCAAAGAGAAGTCCCTGAGTTTGGACGACAACGAGATCTGGTTCGGGATGAAGGACATCATCGTTACGACCTACGAGACAGTGGCAAACATCGAGAACTACTTCGGGCGGATGTTCTGGAAGGCCGTGATCTTGGACGAGGCGCATCGTGCAAAGAACTCTGCCAGCCGAATCCGGGAGGCCTTGGAAGAGACGCACAGCGCGTGCCGAATTCTATTGACGGGCACGCCTCTCCAGAACAGCTTGAAAGAGCTTCATGCCCTGCTCAAGTTCCTTTGGCCGGACGTGCTGGCAAAGCAGTCCGAGATGTTTGAGAACGCCATCCAGCTGCCCGAGCTGGCGGGGAAGGCGGACCCGAACTCCAAAGCTTGCATCAACCAGGTTATGGTCGACAAGATCCGTGGGCTGCTTGCTCTGAGCATGAAGCGGCGCAAGAAGGAGGAGGTGCTGTCGCTACCGCCCAAGATTTTCCACGATGTGTGGCTGCCGATGTCTCCACTCCAGGTGCAGTGGTATCGCCGGATCCTGTCTCTCAAGAACACACAGATGTCCAGAGATATTCGGAGCCTCAAGAAGCTGATCCTTCGACTTCGAAACGTTTGCATCCACCCGCGTCTTGCGGTGGCGTCCAAGGAAGATGAGGAGTTCCTGCTGTCGATGGGCGTCTGCTCCCAAGAGGAGATCGACCGGCTCAAAGACGGCCCTCTGGTGAGTGAAGAGGTCATTGGCCAGAGCTACAAGCTTGCGTTCGTGGACGCACTGCTCACGCACCTCCATGCACAAAACATGGGCCTCAACGACAATTGGCGCAAGACCTTTGAGGCACGCACCAAGCAGAAGGATGCGAAGAAGAAGTCTGCCTCGGCTTGGCTGAAGAATGCTTCCGGCCCGCTGTTTCTGGATGACATGAAGTACCACCGGATGCAGCTCGAGGGTGGCAAGGAGCACGCAGGCTTCCTCGACGGAATGGAGGACGTTGATTGGGACACTCCGCAGCCGCACAAGGCGCTGATTTTCTGCCAGCACCAGGTGAACATGGATTTCCTGGAGGAATACTGCAAGTTCAGGGGCTACCGCTACATGCGCATGGATGGATCAACAAACCGTGTGTTGCGGGAGTTGGACATGCGCGACTTCAATGCTTTAGATGAGGACGTCTTCATCTACTTGATCAGCACGCGAGCCGGCGGCTTGGGCGTCAACCTGGCCTCGGCTAATCATGTCATCATGTTTGAGCAGGACTGGAATCCGCACGTGGACAACCAGGCGATTGATCGCGCGCACCGCATCGGTCAGTCGAGACAGGTCCACATCCATCGCCCGATTCTGGAGTGGGCAGTGGAGGAGCGCTTATTGATCCGCTCGAACGCGAAGCTCGAGATGGAAAAGAACATCATAGGCGACAGGGTTGAGGAGGATGATGAAAAAGAGGAGTCCGAAGAGCCGCTCGATGCAGAGGAGATCATGAGCATCCTGAACAATGGGGAGTCAGCCTTCAAGGTCTTTGAGGGTGACACCTTCAGCTTTGACCTGGAGGAGTACTTCGATCGCAAGCGGGCCCCAATGCCAGAGGTGAAGGATCGCTCTCCACTGCGGCCGCCAACGAAGAGACCCACGGAGGCAGCGCCTCCTCCGGTTCCAGATGATGTGATGAGGTCCGGCTCCGGTCGGGTCGTGAAGCGCAAGCTCACCTTCGCCGAGGAGTTCTGCACGCCGATGAAGACACGAAAGAAGACCGATGTGATCAAGCTGAAGCATATTCCAAAGTGCTTCACTTGCGGCGTCAAGGACGAAAGGCCTTTGCAGGAGTGCGCATGTTGCCCGATGTCGCATCACGTGCAATGCGTCGGGCACACGCCAAAAAAGTGGACTTGCCCGTGGCACTACTGCAGCTCCTGCAGCCGCAGCAGCAACCAAGTTGGAGGGATGCTGATCCATTGCCTTGAGTGCCCCACCGCACTTTGCTACGACTGCTTTCCGCCAGACTTCCGCAGGGTCTATCCGCCGGACAGGTTCTGGGATGAGATGAAGAAGCGGGGATGGAATGTGACGCCTGCTAAGATGGCCTTCTTCAAGTGCAACAGCTGCCGAACCTTGGAGGAGCAGCAGAAGCGGCTCAAAATGCGAGCGGAAGACCTTGCCGTTCAGCAGGATGCAGAGAAGAAGGCTGCCTTGGAGGAGAAGCGAAACCTGGCCGCGGTGAAGAAGCGCAAGATGGATGAAGAGGCCCAGCGGCGGATGAAGGAGTACAAAGTGCAGCATCAGCAGCAACGAGTGGCCGAGGAGATCAGTCACTGGAGGGCGCGCTTGGAGCGCACAGCGGAGAAGCTTTGGCCGCAGGAATTCCGTCGCATTTGGCAGCACCATGTCAAGAACAATCAGAAGGAGATTGGAAAAGCCATGCTTGGAAGGACGGCAGCCATGCCCTCCGTGGAGTTCCTGATGAGGAGCTTGGAGACCTGTGACAAATGCGGCAACCCTTGCCACAAAGGTCGCAACTGCCCCTTCGAGTCCGAGTCACCAACGAAAGGCCGGGTTGGCAGCAAAAGCTTCACCCTGAGCCTCACGCCAGAGAAGAGGGCCGAGCGGATGAAGATCTTCAAGGAACTCGAGGCCGCTATGCGGAAGGAGGAGCCCGTGCCTGAGCCAGAGATGAAGGACCTCAAGGAGACGACCCCGGCCTGGCAAATTGTGCATGCCTACCGTTCGGTGGAGGCTGCTGTCAAGGCAAAGGTCCTCGAGTTCACGAGCAGGATTGCTGCAAAGCTGGTAGTTACAGACAAGGACTGCGAGAGCGCATCAAGACGCCAGATGAATCACTTGGAGGCAGCAAAGGCATCTGCAGCTGCAGCTATTGCTCGAAAGGAAAAGGCAGCTGCAAAGCAGGTCGCAGCAAGCAAGGCAGCCGAAGTGAAGAGGAATGCGGCACAGAAGGCAGCAGAGAGGGCAGCCGAAGTGAAGAAGAAGGCGGTGGAGCGGGCCGCCGAAGAGAAAAGGAGTGCTGCACAAAAGGCAGCTCAAAAGCAAAAGCCTTATGAAGTTTCTGCACCCCAGGGCAAGACTGGCAAGAGTGAAATCAAGGTCAGATATATCGATTCTGGGCCTGCAGCGGGCTGGCACGTGAAAGGCCGAGCCTATCCATCTGCTATCACCATGTGGCTCTTGCCTCCGAATGCTTCGGTGTGGCTCTCGCGCGTTCAAGCCCTGAAGGAGCTGCAGGGATCAGATCCTACAGTCATCGAAGCCATCGACAGGGTGAGGTGGCAGGTGCAACAGGAGCTCAAGGGCCCAGTCGAACCCGCCAAAGAGGGCACCAGAAAAAAGCTCCGCCTCAGCTGGAGCGAGGAGAGCCATCGCAGCTCCACTTCCTCCAGCTCGGTGCGAATGCTGAGCTGAGGCTTAATCAGTGGCTTGTGTTCTCCAAGCTCATGTCACCGAAGTGGACGGCACATGCAGGAGCGTGCTTGTCTCGTTATGGGGTGTTCTATGGCTATGGTGTTCTATGGTTCTTAGTTGCATGATGGGTCTTCTGTCACATGCTGTTGCTGCCACCGTAGTCCTGCATGTCGCCGTAGCATGTGTGAGACCCTTCGCCTGAAGCCTTGAGCGAGTGTGTCAAATAGTCGAACAGCTCGGTTCGATCGGAGCACTACGGAAGGAAGCGGAAGCTCAAGTGCTTTGACCGTCTTGACCCTAGTAGAATTACAGTTTTTCGGCTCGATGGTTCGAGAGGCACTCTCCTTGGGTTCTGTTGCTTGCTTGGAAGGTCCATGCCATTCTGAAACGGGACCACGAATAAACCGCATGCATGTAGCCGTGCGATTGGACCAAGCAACCAAGCGTTTCCAACACTGTGAAGGTTGCCATTTGGCTTCAGCTTCACGGCATGCTGCCGATGTCACGAAGCCCCCGTCCTTGAGGCAGCATGATCCACGCGGGTCGCGGGGCTGAAGGATGCAACAACAATCGCGCGTCGCGGGCCATTCGATGCTTGCTCTGGTGTGTCTCATATCCGGCCTGATGTTGTGGCACAGAGCTTTGTGTGGCTTTGTCTTTCGACAGTCTTCTCCAAGAGCTCTCGCGTGCTTGGGGCCCGTGAGGTGGAGAGGACCCATTCCAGATGCAGCTCATGCAGAGGCCAACATCATCCGGGAAGCAAGACGAGCCCTGGATCATTCGGATCCTTTCTCTCCGCTACCACCGAAAGCCGGGACCTGCCTAGGAAAGTTTGACGCTCTGCACCTGGGCCACCAAGCTTTAGCACAAGCAGCTCGAGACATGGGCTTCGAGCCCTGGATGATTTCATTCTCGGGTATGGCGGAAGTTTTGGGCTGGAAGCCCCGCAGACCTCTTGTGGCACCTGAGCATCGGTTAGACGTATTGAGATCCTTCGGTGCCCAAGAGCGTGTGCTGCCGTTCGCCCAGGTCCAGAAGCTCAGCCCTGAAGACTTTGTAGACCTGCTCGTTGATAGGTTGGGCGCATCTGCCGTAATCTGTGGAGCAGACTTTCGCTTCGGCTTCAAGGCGAGAGGTGATGCGGACATGCTTCGAAGCCTCGCCAACGAAAGAGGAGTTGGGGTCAAAGTGGTGCCGCTGGAAACGTCGACGTCGAAGGATGTGAAGTTCAGCTCTTCCCTTGTTCGACAACTCCTAGCTGAAGGTGACATGCGAAGTGTGGCTGCTGTACTGGGACGGCCCTACCGCGTTTTCTGGCAGCGCAGCCGCTGCTCTCAAGGAACTACCTTGCACGTGATGGACCCGTCAAACGAAGTGCCGAAGGAAGGCCGCTACAAAGTTTACATTGGGACAAACAGACCTTCCGCTGGGCCCACCACAGTCCAGGTCTCCGGCTCGCAAGGAACTTTAGCGTGACCGGGTCAGCACGAGAAGTCTTTTCCAAGAAGATTCCGTTCGTTGCGCAAGCCGGGTTTTTTCAGAGTGTTGTATAACTACCACTTGTCCAACTGCAGTGGGTAATGATTTGACGAAGCCAAGTCGGAGTAGCCGATGTTTCTTCACATGTGTTATGGGTATGCGAAGCAAGATGCACATACAACATGTAGATAGAGATGGCTAGGCTTGGACAGGTTTGCCCAGCAATCAGACTCCCTTGGCATCACTGAGGCTTGAAGCAGCTTGCAACGAGCTGAGCGGAGCTGCTGTTGACATGCACTTTGGTGGATAACCACGCAGGCTGCTTCCGAAAACGAAAACATCGTCTGTTCAGTTTTGGGAACCAAGGGTGCAGGGCAATAAACATATTCACTTTCCGTGAAGAACGAATGGCTTGCCCAGGAGATTCGTGTTTTCCTATTCTTGAGACAAAAACGAATTACCTTTAGAAAGGAGGTCCTACTCTAGAATGAATAAATACAAACAACTAATCATCAAATGATACGAACAGTATAATTTGGTAATTCATTCAAAAACCTCTCGAAAATGGGAAAAATCCTCATCTGTTGAATGAGAATTTATATGAGTTTTAACCTTAAATCGAATTTTTAAAAGAAAATATCATAGATAATATATTTTAGATTTATATAAAATTGATTGATTAAAATACGAAATATAAGGTTGGAAAATTAGAATATTTTATATTGAAGAATATATATATATATATTTATTTATTTATTTATTTCGAAGAACATACGAAATCTGATAGAATATTTATATTCAATAAAGATGAATTATTATTGAATTAATATATTAATCTAAGATTATATATTATATTCCATAAGAAGTTTCTAAATTGAAAATATAAATATATTAAGCCCAAGATATAGATTATATTTATATCATTAGAATATATTTTTTCAAATAAGAAAAAGAATATTGAAATATTAGATATTTAAAATAAGAAATATATTTAGTGAGATGAAATATTTATGAGAGCATGATTCTTATTAAAAAAAATATTCTTTGAGATAAAGAGTTTTCTTAATTTATGAGAATATAAATAGAGATATATTTGAATAATCTTTCCATAAGATTATTTATCTGTAAATTTTCTTTTAATATTGGATATATTTCTTATTATGATAAGAAATATTCTTTACTAATTATATATTACAGTAGTCTTCGAATTAGTATTTCTTATAACTCTTCGAAATTTTTAGGCTCTTGGAGCTGAATTACGAGGCGTTATTTATTTATGATCTTCAAATTTTCGGTAAAGTTTCGAAATCTATTTTATGAATATCTTGAATATTCATTGGATATTTATCATATATTTCTCGGAATTTAATGAAGAGGTATATAATAATCTATAGGTTCTCTTTATTATTTATGATTATTTAGATTCGAATATCATATAACTTAAATCAGCATAGTTATCTTTATTTATTTGAATTATTCATTCTTGAGCACTATATCGTGTTATATGATTAGCGATATTAGATGATCTCATTCTATTTTATTAGATTCATTATCGTAGCGTCTAGTAAATCTGTAATAAATTTAACTATCGTCTGATAATATCTAAATCTGAAAATTATGTAGTGGAAGCCACCTCCAAGGAATCTATTGCCTATAGAACCTAGATAGTGATTTCTCCAAAATCTTTTGGGGATTGTAGATTCATCAATAATAGTAGTTATCTCCTTTTGCTGAAAACTCCAAGCTCAGAATCGGTGCAGCTCTCTAAATTTATCAGCAAATAAGATAAGACGATCAAGATTATTCAGGATCTCGACGGATATCTCTCCCAGCACTTCTTCAAATCATCAGTAATATATTGATTATCTGGGCAGATCCAGAGAGCTCAATGAGGGAATCAATGGTCATTCAAGGGGTTTAGGATTTAGGGTTTAGGTATAGGTATTAGGGTTTAGGGGTGGTTAAGGGTACCTGGAGAGCCCAGTAATTACCCCATCCTTAAGGAATATCCCTTATGCCATACAGGGATTCTTAATACGATTCGAGGTATATTCCCTAATTAAGGGGTAGTGGGCTCTCTGGGTTCCAAGTGGATTGAGAGTTTAGGGTTTAGGGTTTAGGGTTTAGGCTTTCAGGGTAGGCTACAAATAGACATGGACTGTTCCTCTTGGGGTTGCCTTCCATGATTTTCATACGGTCTCTTTTGTTATGGTTCTCATTACTATCATACGGGGCCCCACATAGTATTCCCCCATTTTGGGAACAGAAAATTCGGCAAACTTTGGTTTCAACGGCTTCGGACAGCAACACACTATCCGCGTCAGGAAAAGAACGCTGAGACCTGTGCTGAGTGCCTTTCGCCCAAAACAGGGTCTTTGGGATGAAAAGTCGAAATGCTGATTTGCCAGGCGATCCAGCTGCTCACGACAGGTGTATTTCTACACACAAGATATATGTGCATATTCCTTAATAATCTCTTTATATGAACTCCGTAGTTTGGTCTATTAGATCTTGTTCCACTTCTACATAATCTATCACCTTATTGCCTACTAGGCACCAGTAAGCAAACATGGCTAACCTGTCAGCGTCCTTAACGGTTCGTGCCCGCGTTGGTCACGGCATATACGTTAGTCAGCCCAAACCTGGGTCTCCTGAGCAACAACAACGAACGAAGACCCACTACGAAAAAAATAGAAAATCGGTGGGCAAACTTACTGGTGCTTAGTAGGGAATAAGGGAATAGATCATGTAGAGAGTACATAGGGATTACATTCCCCTTTATTCCATATTAACAACCAATAAGCAACGCGAGGTTGTGTGCCTTCACTTGTAAAACAGGTCGCGCACAACATCTTCGACCGTAAACCTTGGCTCGAGAGTTTCCAAGGCCCAAATCCACAGGAAGGTTCATGAAGGCTGCCTGGTGGGCTACGTGGTGGGGCCTCCTCCTGGGCTGTCGGGTCCATGTCGCGCAGTGCCGGGCTGACCTTGGTGACATGTGCCAAGGCGCGAGCTTGACCAAGCTCCAGTAAGGGTCCCGACAAATGAACTCACATGGGACCTTGAGCCCTGAACCCCTAAACCCTATACCTGAAACCCTTGATACTAGATGTAACTTCCAGGAGATGACGACGGCACCTTCTTGCAGAAAGAGAAGCTCGTGCAAAGATTCCGGCCGGAAGGACCGCGGTTAATACCCTCGACGGCAAAGGAACCAAGTGCGCATGCGGCCTTTCTGCAGTGGCGCCAGGGGGAGGTCATGAAGTTTTCCGCTTTGCAGCTCTACACTGCGGACGATGACATGTACCTCAAGTTGCTCTTCGGGCACATGCAGAAGGCAGACGAGCTGGGCAACAACGATGGGTTGCTGACGGAAGAGGAGTACCCGGGCCTACAAGAACTTGTAGCCGTGCTAAACCGCGGTTTGCCCTCCAAGCGCCGATTGGTCAGACTCAAAATCTGCGCGACGTGGCATCTCTTGCTCCGCCGTTTTTGCCGAAAGAAGCTCCAGAAGCTCTCCAAGATGCCCCCCAAGGTCGCCATCCCCCTCGCCTTGAACGCAACCGACCTCAAGCGTGCGTCCCTGAAGCCCTATATCGAGGCCGTGAAGTCCTCTGCAGAAGCTTCTGCCTTGGACTGCCAGATCGCCTTGGAAGAAGGCATCCGCGCAACACAGGCTACCCAAAAGATGGCGATGGAACAGCTCAAGCCGGCGTACGACCGCATCCGCGATGCGCACGTACGTGGCCGGGTTGCACGGGTCTACACCCAAAGGGTCCAAGTACTAAATATTCACATACTCTCTTAAACCCTAGCCTACCTACGATTCCCTAATAAACCACAATATCCAATTATTGGCTACTTTGGACCCTCAGGGAAGCCGCCATCCCACATTTTTAGTCACGGTAGCGAAGTGAGGTGGCGGCAAAGAGTTTGGGCAACTCGTCCGGAGAGCCTCTTCTCGGAGACAACACCACGGCAAAACTCGAAGTCGCCAAGCTTGAGTTGTTCATGCTCCAGCTGGCGCGCGAGGAAGAATGGCTAGTATCTTGCAACAGCAACTTGCCAGCTTTTGCTGCAGATTTCGGGCTTAACCCACCGGAGTTGGTTTCAGCAGCTGGTGGGTACGAAGAGAATGGCACACAAGTGTCGCTCGCGGGGTCGGGGATGGCCCGCACGCAGGGCAGCTGGAGCAGCTTGCTGCAGCAGACGCCAGGTGCAGGCATCCTAGTTGAAAAAGATGGACACAACAGGCTGTAAAGGTAATCCTATGCCCCTTGATTTTTCGAACCCTAGTATATACCTGTTGTATACCAAGGAGCCAAACCAGGGGCCCACAAGAAAACCCTAGGACAGTCAGACCAAAAAATCCGAGGTCCTGTCTGCGTGTACAACACCGCCGAGACATGTACTCGGGGGATCGGACAAGTTCCTTTGTTGGGCTCGCACAACTCGAACGCCTACAGCCTCCGATACGAATGTGCTCAGATCAAGGAGATCTGCACGGAGTGGAGAAGCGTCGTGCAACAAGTGTGTACAACTTTCGGTGAATGGTGCCTTGGAAGCCATTAGTTTTCAGCCCTATGCAAAGCTAGACACCGGTCACTATTGGAGAAAACAAGGTGCACTTCCTTTGCAAGCGAAGTTCGGCGGGAGTGCATCGAGTGGGGTTATGAGTGTGCAGAATGGAGCGATCGCAACTGTGGGCCCCTCTCCTTCATTTGCGATGCCGTTTGCTTGGTCAGCCGACTTGTATGCAAAAAATATTCATTGATTGTGGAGCCTTGCCTGAAGGGGGGGTGGGGGAGGGAAAAAAGTGGACGTGCCTAAGCTTGAAGCTCTAGACCTGGGACCTTGAACCCTACTTTCGGAACACGCAGCCCTCTTTTTTGGGTCATAATAACTTCTCCCTCCATGATTTTATGTAAGAGCCCAAAAGGAGGGTGTCGGGTTTGCAAGGTGCAGAATTTTGGATCATCCTCAAAGTTTCAAAGCTGGCCCTGCAGGAGTATACATGCATCGCCACTACGAGTTATTGTCGCTCGTTCGCGTCATTCACCACTTGGCAGGGATGCGTCAAGCCCTTGGAGTATGTTTGCACTTTGGGGACGTCGTTTCTGGCTAGATCTGCCACGAAATGCCTCTTCGAAAACCAGAACCTAGGTCCCCCAGTGGTAACCTTATTTTAAGCTTTTTGGGTTGGGTTCCCATATAATAACCCAGGTAAAGACTAAGAGTGGTCCTTTTTTCCTAGGCTACTGGGTTTCAAAGGCAATCGGGCATCACTTACCAGCTCGATCGCGGAGCCAGAGTCTTCGACTTCGACACTTGCCTTCGAAACAACATGCTGCTGAACTGCCATGGCACCCAGGACTTTTTTGGCAAATTAGAACGAGCTCACCCGAGCTCACCCAGTATTGTGGGTACTTTAAGGGATATATCAAAAAAAGGTCTCGATTCAGGATTCAACTTGCCCAGTAAACCCTATAAAACCTAAACCCTACACCGTAAACCATAGACCCTGAACGAAATGATTCGAAATTATTCTATTTTGCTTCGAGGACTTCAAGAAGGCCATCGGTGGGTCAACAGAAGGAGATTTGGTGAGAATTTGGCAGTGGCTGAACAGGAACCTTAGCCGCTCTTGGAAATGACTTTAATTTTGTGCTTAGAATTAAGGTTAGCAGAGCCCTAAGAAAGAGCTAGAAATAAAATGTTTGGAGCCCTAAGACAAAAACTAGAATTTGATTTTTGTACAAGGGTCCCTAATCCCTGATCTCTGAACCCTAAGGTTAAACCTTAAACCCAAGAACAGAACAGGAACCGCAATGAGGTGGTCTTGTTTCGCTGGAGCGATACGGACTGGGCTTGAACCAAGGGGCCTTACTTGGAGGTTCAAGGTACTTATAACCTAATTAGTTTAGGGTTTAGGTTTTAGAGTTTGCCATTTTGGCTCAAGGGCTTTCTGGCTACGAGACCCAAAGAGGGTACTTGCAAGTTTTTCCAATTCGATCCTGCAGACACTTTGCCATGGTTGCCTCCCGACAAAAGCTGATTTCATGTGTTGGCTTCGCCTGGCGACTCTCGAAGAAACTAGATGTCTCGAGTGACGTATGCTGTGCATTGCAGGCTGCACTGTGTTCTCTGGCTACGTCCCCTCCAGTTGAGGCGCCATGTCAACTTGTGGCTAACCGTGTGTGCAGCCCACGAGTTGAGATCAGTCTTCACAAGGCCTTGCCGACAACAACATGCGCAAGAGATCACACACAACAATGTGTTGAG